CGAAGCACGTAGCGCTCCCCGCATTCGTTTCCCGGTAAAGATTGCGGCTGCATAAGCTATCGCGGTAACGGCAGCGAACGAAGTTTTTCCTACATGAAAACGTTTCGGTACAGTGCACTTACTTTTCTTCCGTCGATCATTCGGTACAGACCCTTTTGCTGCTTACAAACATGAACTGCCGTTTGCGTCCCAAGCGCCTTCATGTCGCAGTATGGTCGCACCATCTTTGCAAGGCTGTTGAGCTTGCGTATGTCACCTGTGCTAGAAAGCAGAAATACTACACAGACAACAAAGCTGGAGATTTAACGAGGGCCTTCGGCGGTACAATATTACATCCTGGGGGAGGCAGGTTGGTTTATAGTACTCCAAACATTTTAACAGATCTCGCACTCCTTTGTCCTTTTGGCGTTAACCTGCAGAATTGTTGGTTGAACTTTTAATCTACATTTCAAGCGCGGTGGTAAGGTGGGCTCGTTGCTATGGTAACTCTTCGTTCATACCCTTTATAAACCGAAAGTTCTCTGGGACGTCGAAGACTGGAGCACCATCTGGTGGCGCTTGCCATAAAAGGGTTCTATAGTGCAGTGGGCAATCCTTGTATGTGATACCACAGTTTCGTTGTCCAACCAGCTTTATACCGTGGATTAGAGCCTTAATTGTTTTTTTTTTTTCTTTTGCAAGCTCGATGCTTCTATGGTTCTCGCCCTTGTCTCGTGTAATTCATCGAAATTGCACATTATCTTAGTAATTTCCTCCCAACCCCTTTTTGTATCATGAGAGGAGGGTATTGATTGTACAAGCCTAGCAGTTAAACAACAGCATGTTAAATGTAAAGCTAACGATCTCCTGAATATAAATACTAGATTTTCAATAAGAAAAGACAGGCAAATGAAGTGCAAACAACACCTCCTTAGATTAAGATAATAAACTACTTTTACTGAGTGCGAAATAAAAAAAATTGTCAAGTGTAAACGCACTTCTTATGGTGGATTGAGGTGATAGCGCAATCTGAATTTACAATTTGCCGGAGGAGATGATTCAATCCGTCTACTGTTTTAGAAAAAAGTGACAAGCAAAATACATTAGATTTTTTAGAGCGCCGCTCTTAGGCGCCGGTTTCCGGGTTGAGCGGCGTCAGCGTAACCACTGGCGCTGCATTGTGGGACGTGACAGTTTCTCGGCTAAATTTAGCGGGGAAACTGAATTGTTGTCAAGGTCACGTGACGTCAATTTCCCCGCTAAGTTTAGCGGTTTAAGTTTCCTCCTCTAAATTGAGCGGTGAAATTGACGTCACGTGACCTCAACACCAATTCAGTTTTCCCGTTAAATTGAGAAGGTTAAGTTTCCCCGCTAAATTTAGAGGGAAAATTTTCGCTAAATTTCTCCGCTAAATTTGCAGGAAAATTTCCCCATTAATTTTGGCGGGAAAATTTTCGCTAAATTTACCACTAAATTTAGGGGAAAAATTTTAGCTGCATTTTCCCCTAAATTTTTTTATGTACAAGTTCAGTAGGTTTTCATATACGAATTGTACTCAATCTTGGAGTTGTCAGAATGACAGAGCTTGGAAATGCGCTTGAGCAAAGCATATTCCGTTACATCTAGCGGCAAGTATCGCAGTACGGAATCGTTTTAACATGTAACTATATTTAGGGGCCATCTTCTTTGGCAGTGCAGTCGAAGGTACCGGCAAGCGGGCGCTCTACTATTTGGGCGCTGAATTAAGTCGTACGCAATTTTTTGTGAAATCTCTAAAAAAATGGTTTAAATACCCTCGATATTTTTTTAACAGGATATCAGTGGTTCTCCATGTGGTGTCCCCAACTAAAATTATTCGCCATTGTTTCCTTAAAGTATTTACAAGTATCCACCGCATTTAATATGAACTAGGAAAATCAACATTGCCCTAGGAGATCGATGATTGATAACATTAAAGGCTTCTCAAATAATGAAAGCTGAGATGTGTTTTAAAATATCCCCTGATTATGAGTATCAGTCTTGCTCATACGGTAAACGCAGATGCAATACAAACCATTTTGACCACAAAATACCTGCAACCAGCCCGCAGACATGAATATCGCGTTTTAAATACATAAATGGAGTCCATGAGTCATTCATGTCATTTAGTATAAGGTTCTCGCGTTGTTAACGTCGATATTTTGCTTCACTTATATAAAAAACGTGGGTTTCTTTTCCGTAATTTTGTTGAAGAGTTCGCAAATATATATATATATATATATATATATATATATATATATATATATATATATATATATATATATATATATATATATATATCTTTTAACAGCTGTCTTTGTTTAATTTTAAAAAGACTTTCAGGCCTGACCAAGAGTACCTCTAGGAACGTTCGACTTCATGATAATTACCATGCTTCGCTAAGTTAATAACATAACATTGCCTACATCCATTTATTTTTAACACTGAAGAGAATATACCAAGTTGACACATAACGTCAGGCTATGATTGAAAGTAATGTGCGATTCACACACTTGCGTTGAGTTCGACCGAATGCAAGGGTCGCCATGGGAACAGCTGCGTCGGCTCCAGCAAAACGGGATAAAAAACGGGTTTGTTGTAGCCGACGCAGCTGTTGTCATAGCAACCCTCGCACTCGGTCGAACTCAACGAAAGTGTGTGAATCACCCTTAAGCTTCAATAAGTTTGACTTCGGCGGGTCATTGGGGCTACGGCATCGCTGTCCTCAATACAACGGTGAATGGAATCCTTTTAATCAGAAGAATAAGATCAGACGACGATGAAGTAGAGATTAACCAAGGCAGCATGCCTCGATTGATCTGATGAAAGGCTAGCCAACCCTTTAATCAGGTCAAATAATAAAAGTGATTTATGTCTTGCTCTAAAGTCATTCACAGCACTAAAAACGATACAGGGCGGGACATTTATTTCCACGCCTTGTTTCTTAAACTGTCGGTGACCATATAAAAGTGCAGAATTGTATGGTCTCTTTTTCGCTATCTATCGGTGACGTATTTTTTTTTAACTTTCAACTTTAGTTGTCTCTTTTTTTGCCCTTGTTAACAAAAGCGGGAATCCGCTTTTTTCTAGCATAACAAGCGAGATTAGGGGCCAAGAAGCAAACAACAAAAATGTGGCCGTATCTTAAAGCTCTCGAAAGCGAAGCACTTGACAGAGTCTACGCTTTTAAAAGTATATAAAGCATAATCAATGTCAAATAATCGACTTCATAACTCCACCGCTTCGGCTCGAACAGGGTCAAAAATTCCAGGGATTGGGATGGAATCAAGCAGCCTTCTTCTTACTTCTAAATCCTAGCAGCATCGTCGTCTCAGCTGTTCTGCGAAGAAGACGGCCAATGAGTATGCGACTCTAAGCCAATAGAAACTAAACTATGCTTCGGATTTAAGTCTTAAAACAAGGATTTTTATTGTTAAAGAATATAGCTTGTCGCAAAAGCGTACTATGTTCTGTTCACGAATCTGTTCGCAGTGTCGTGAACAAACTGATTAGACATGAAACACAACTATGACATCAACAGCGAACTGCCCTAGGATGGATTCACAGAAAGGCAGTCAGGTAGAAATTGAACGCAGCGAAGGCGAATTTTAGCTTTAAAAAAATGACTGATATTTGGTGCAGCCACAGAAGCTTTAAACTTCGTTTCTCCTCAAAATCTGACGCAGCCGACACTACGAGCTTGTGGGACCAATGTGGCATGTCTGAAAAAGACATATCACTATCCGCGATAGCGCTGTCAATAGAAGCAGTGCTTAAGCCAGGGTAGTCCCAGAGAACTCACTAAAAAGAAATCAAACTTTCAAGTCAACACACCACCTAAAGATAGCTTGTCCACAAGTTCACAGCAAGAAATGCTTGTGCGTCTACCTTAACACAGAGACCTCAACGATACAATGCTTGATTTACCACTGTCTTTACTTGTTTATCCCTAATTTGGACGCCCTACCAGCGCGTTCGTGTGCATGAGGTCACTCTACTTCTGCTCGTTATGTTATTCACTGCAATCTTCAGAAAGTGCTCGGTAAATGACGAGGTCATAAAAACAGTTTCAACCGATTATTAAGTCGTTCGTATGACAAAGTACATGTCCTCGTGCTCATGGTTACATCGCTTTTCACGAAACACGTTGCCTGAACGTTTTCTCTTCATATTTTTTGCCACGTCATTCTCCCAATTTTTCCTGTAGATTGCAGTGATTGACTAACCGAGTTTTTCTGCAGGCATGTCAAAGTCAAATTTGGGGGTTTTACGTGCCAAACCTACGACGGGCATCTGGCACGCCCCAGCGGAGGACTGAGGATTAATTTCGACCACCTGGGGATCTTTTGACGTGCAACCGAAAGCTCGGTTACACGGCGCCTTCTCCGCAATAAGCCTCCGTCATATTGCGGGCAGCTCGGTCGGGATTCGAACCCGCCACCTGGGGATCCGTAGGCCGGCGCTTCTGCGGGCATGTAGACGTTTGGGTATTGTCCAAACATGTAATGACCAATGCTATAGCTGAAAACGTTTTTTTTTTTTTTTTTTTACAGGTACGGACAATAAATATTTTATTACGCAATCAACCCCCCCCCCCCTCCCCCAATTGTTTTTGTCCTGGGCAAGACACCCGCCGAAAACCCAATTTGAAGATATGCCCTTTGACCCCTCCCCCCCCCCCCCCCCCCCCCCACTCCCAACTTTTGATACTCTTGCTCACAACTTGTGAGGAAGATTTAAACCACTTTTAGATGGACGCATTAAAGGTCTTCAGGGCGGACTCCTTTAAAGAAACGGCGAATCTACTTGCTATTTCGCGCCTCTTGGCGCGCGATGGTTCACCGCAAGTGGCGCACGCCACTTGCGGCATGAACTGGTTCACCGATTCTTCGGAGGGTGTTGGTATACGTACTTTCGGTATACGCGCGTCTGGCACAAGGGTACCAGACAGTTGAATTCCGCGTAATTATACGCTCGTTCACCTGTTTGCATTGTCAACACAGACGCCCCCACCTGCAAGCCCGGCCAGAAGACGGTATACGGCGCGGCTCGACAGGAGGCCGTGCGCGTGAGCTGCGAGCTGGAAGCAGATCCTCCTGACGTGACGTTCCGCTGGCGGTTTAACTCGTCCAAGGAACTGTTGGGCTCGAGCAACGTCATCAGCGAGTCGACCCGCAGTTGGGCCACCGTGGTGCCGCTGGCCGAGGACGACTACGGCACGCTGCTCTGCTGGGGAAAGAACGGCATCGGCATCCAGCGGGAACCGTGCATCTTCACGCTCATCCCCGCAGGTAGGCGGAGTATGAATACTCAGTAACACCAATAAGAGACTGCACACAGCGCGTCTCAAGCGCAACTATCCTGTTTAAGACATGCTGTGTCTTGTAGATGGTTGAGCGTGTTGGTTATTAATTTACGATAAGGAAAGAGGAACATTTAAGACAAACAGACAAGACAAGCTTTCGACTTTCAACAAAACGTTTACTGGCTCGACTTCGCCTCCTGAAGCCCGACGGGGGGCGTCGGGGAGTTAGAGAGGGAGGATGGTGGGTGAGAGAAGCGCGAGCCAGCTCGCAGCTAAGCGTGCATGCCGGAAGGGGGGTCCCGGGTCTGCTGTGTGTCAATCGACACGTCGCCGTTACACGCAGCCCCGAGTGCGGGCGGTGCCCTCTTGGGGAAAGAAGGGAGGAGGGGGACAGGGCGCGGAGAAGAGGAGGAGGAGAAGATGTGCCGGCGATGCTCTCTTGGGGAAGGAAGGGAAGGGGGGGGGGGGCGCTGAGAAGAGGAGGAGACGAAGATAAGCGAATTCAGACTTTTTATGTTTTTGGAGGAACCCTCTCGGCCCCGCAGGAAGCGAATCTCTCGGTCGGAAAGAGAAAGGGATGGGCTCGACAGGTTCGAGACTGAAGACTTGATATGTAGGGACTCAAGGATTTCCCTGCCGAATCAAGATTTGTGCCCGCCGAGAATTTTGGGTTTCGAGAACTCGGGGGTGCACGAGGGGCAGTCTTTTTTGGCGTGAACCACGACTGGATGGAAGGAGTCCGGAGAGGGAGACGAGATCTCCTTGGCGTGCTCCCAGAGACGGTCATTCACGCACCGACCCGTCTGGCCGATGTATGCGGCCCCGCACACAAGAGGAATACTATACACCTTTCGATAAACCTTTAAGTCCGGAATCGTCTAGTCTCTCCTTTCTTCAACTTGCAAAAAGTCCTGCGATCATAAGATCAGAGGGAGCCTGTCATTACAGGCAACAAGGCTCCGGAGGGCGGGCTACCCGGTGGACCTTTTAGATAACGTCAGCAAGAAACTCATCCTACAGTCGAGGAGCCAACCAAGGGAGGCCCCCTCCGGGACCCGGTCTGCCCGCCCTGCGTGCATCCCGTGCACCCACAACACGGCACACCGACTCCGCGCGCTTGCACGTCGATTCGGCACCAGAGTTCTTTTCACATGCAGATTTAAATTCGGAGGCATGTGCAAGCGAGTTACCAACCCAGAACCCCCACCCGCATGCACAAAAAAAAAAACACGCGCAGTGCTTCCGGCCCTGCACAAGGGAAAAGGTGTATAGTATTCCTCTTGTGTGCGGGGCCGAATACATCGGCCAGACGGGGCGGTGCCTGAATGACCGTCTACGGGAGCACGCCAAGGAGATGTCGTCTTCCTCTCCGGACTCCTTCCATCCAGTCGTGGTTCACGCCAAAAAAGACTGCCCCTCGTGCACCCCCGAGTTCTCGAAAACCAAAATTCTCGGCGGGCACAAATCTCGATTCCGCAAGGAAATCCTTGAATCCCTACATATCAAATCTTCAGTCTCAAACCTGTCGAGCCCATCCCTTTCTCTTACGGACCGAGAGATTCGCTTCCTGCGGGGCGAGAGGGTTCCTCCAAAAACATTAAAAGTCTAAATTTGCGTATCTTCGTCTCCTTCTCTTCTCAGTGCCTCCCCCCCCCCTCTTCCCTTCCTTCCCCAAGAGAGAATCGCCGGCACATCTTCTCCTCCTCCTCTTCTCCGCGCCCTGTCCCCCTCCTCCCTTCTTTCCCCAAGAGGGCACTGCCCGCACTCGGGGCTGCGTGTAACGGCGACGTGTCGATTGACACACAGCAGACCCGGGACCCCCCTTCCGGCATGCACGCTTAGCTGCGAGCTGGCTCTCGCTTCTCTCACCCACCATCCTCCCTCTCTAACTCCCCGACGCCCCCCGTCGAGCTTCAGGAGGCGAAGTCGAGCCAGTAAACGTTTCGTTGAAAGTCGAAAGCCTGTCTTGTCTGTTTGTCTTAAATGTCCCTCTTTCCTTATCGTAAATGTTGTCTTGTTCCTTATTTTTTAGAGCACAGCTCTTAGGCGCCCGTTCCCGGCTTGAGTGGCGTCGCCGTCGGCGTAACGGCGAGTAACCCTCGTAACCCTCACGAGGCTTACCCTCACGAGGATCACGAGAGCTACGAGGGTTACTAACCCTCGTAATCCTCACGAGGGTTACGAGGGTTAGTTACCTTCAAAAGGGTTACCCTCGCGAGGGTCACAAGGGTTATGAGTTACCCTCACGAGGGTTATGAGAGTTACCCTCACGAGGGTGACGAGAGTTACCCTCACGAGGGTCACGAGAGTTACCCCCACGAGGGTCACGAGAGTTACCCTCACAAGGGTTACTAGGGTTACCCTCACGAGGGTCACGATAGTTACCCAGGTCACGTGACCCCCCGGAATCATGTGACCTCCTCAAGGTCACGTGACTCCTAAGGTCACGTGACCCCCGTTGACGTCATTGCCGCTGATGACGTCATCAGTGACGTCACTGATGACGTCCCCGGCATCCGCATCGTCATCATCACTGATGACGTCATCAGTGACGTCACTGATGACGTCACCGGCATCCGCATCGTCATCGTCATCATCACTGATGACGTCATCAGTTACGTCGCTGATGACGTCATCGGCATCGTCACGGGACCCCAGGTCACTTGACACCCTACGGTCACGTGACCCCCCAAGGTCACGTGACCCCCCCTGCCACCTGAGGTCACTTGACCCCCCCCCCCTAGTGCCATTTCCTCCTCCTCCTCCTCAAAAGCTGCGCTCTAATTCGGCGTTACAGGGAGTCGTAAACGGCTTTCATTTTTTTTCGTTCGCCTTCTCCGGTTTCAGATGTGTCAGGCTACATTGTCCGCATAAAACAACGAGCGGGCTGGGACTCATCTCGGAGCTTGAACCTTTATAACGGGGTGAAAGGTAACACGCTTGAGGAAAAGCCCTAGTTACGCGGACACGATATGCCGTCTTACCTCTTAAATAGAAGCTGAAGCGCTTTTACAAAAATCTAAGTTGGAAGCGGATTTTCATAGCGTTTTCTCCCGTGAATTCAGTTATCGCAATGATATTAGACAAAAGCAAAAGTAAACCGCTTTTTTTTTCCAACTATCTGCAGCGATTGCCTCCGGATATGCGGCGATTGTTTCTGCCGCCTGCTATTCGTCTAGAGCGTCTTGACGTCGTTGACTGCATCCCCAAGCCAGCTTAGGGGCGAGCAAGGGTCAAATGACCCCGCTGATGATGTCACTTTTGCTAGTTTTTCTCTCCGCTTTTGCGCTTTGCTACCGTCGGCGCGTCGCAACGGGCAAGTCTATGTCGAAATTTTAATTGGCTATCTCGACGCTCCTACCATTAAAATAGAAATAAAACTTTAGACACAACATTTATTTTGAAAGTGTTTACATTAGGAAGTTTACGGTTTGTTTAAATTCAATTACCTTTTCAGTTTCGCTTTAATGCCGCAAATATAACTTATCACGCCTACTTCAAACCTCGAACGAAAAAAGATAGTAGAAGTCTCGACTGCGTTTATGTCTCAGGTGCCCATATTCCTATGGGTGCCTGATTTATGTTTGTTAATAACGATGCCCTACAATTTTTTTTTTCTCCTCACGACCAACTATTGCGTCCGCGCTCGTGTACGTGAGTCGAAAAGCATACCGGTAGTTCACGTTTTTCAGTGAGTGCGAACTAAACTTAAACGAAGAAACAATTTGTGAAACTAAGGCGACCGGTTCGACATTAAAGCGGGATTGCGGACGTAGTACCTCGCCGTGTAAAACATTTTAAACTCAAATGTTGGGTTGTTCATGCGACTATCAAATGCTTTCCCATTGTTTCTTTCTGACTAACAGAACAAAAATGCCATCCTTTCATACTGAGATCTCGTTTATACAAAGTAAACTTGTGCTAAATATGAGTTAATATAAGCAGAAACCTAATAAAAAACGAGTGTTCGAGTTCAGTTCATTCTGCTACGTAAATGGATCGAATGTACATGGTACGGCCTTAAGGACATTTGGCACGCCTTGCAAAATTCGAATCCCAAACGTACATACCTAAAATGGATCACGCCAATGTAGTTTTCCCAGACGTTGTACGTCTATTTGTTTTAAAGCTCAATTTTGAGGTAGGGAAACATTAAAAATAAAGAGAAATCGGAGGCTGGGGAATCCTCATGTTCTTTACTAGCCTGTTTGTCGTCTGCACCTTTGCTTACGAACTCGCTCCCGGGTGCTCAACGCAAGAACGCCGAAGACCAATTGCAGATGCTGGCGATGAGCAAGATAATCCCGATAATGAATATTTTAACAAAATATATGAACATTTATCATATCGGAGCAAACCCACAAACCAGAGTGCAGAGGACGAACATATAGGGCATAAAAAGGCACGACCACCGTTTTTGCTTCATTCATAATATTTTACCAGCTCTGACTTTAGCTCTGAAAAGAAAAAGAAAAACGGAAATCTTCTTGCGAAACTACGTTCACTGGCCCAATATCAGTTAGGCATGTTTGGAATTCTAAATTTGCAAGGCGTGCGAAATATGTTAGTCTTAGGGCTGCACATGGTATCATACTCAACACCGCGCTGTCTTACAAATTTTAAATTTCACTTTCATATATCTTTAGCTTGGCACCGCGTTTATTATCTAATCCACATTTTGCAAATATTCCAAAATGCCGCGTGACACCGAAAAGAGCGAAAAGGTTGAGCACGCGAACGTTGCTCGCTCGCCTGCTTTCGCCCGCTTGCCGTCGCCTCCAAGGTCGCTTTTGCAGTCTGCTTCAACCGGTTGTACCTTGAGTTCCCGGCTTTCCTTTTGGCGCCGCGGACGGCGCTGCACGCTTCGCAAAAGGACTTTTCCATCGCACATGTACGGACATTCCATTAGGTTTGTAATAATGTAGCATTTTAGCCAGCGAGAAAATATAATAAACGGACATTCAATGAATGTAACTAATCGTAACT